GCACTTGACATTTCAAATAAATTATTGATGTTTTATTTGTTTTTCACTGAAGGTGGCAGTGACATCAGAAGGAAACAAAGCCTCTGAATGGGAAAATACAAGTGTTACAAATTTGTGAGAGTTCATTTTAAAAATCTGAAGTTTGCTTTTAAGTTTTCTCAGACAAGCAGATCATAATTCTAACTGCCAGAACATAATTCTAACTCCCTTCCTGCAGGGAGGAAGGGCAGAAGGCAATTAAAAAGAGAGATGGAGGGGTTGAGGCACAGGGGTTTAAGCTGCTGCTTGCAATGCTGGCATCCCTTCTCAGAGCATGGGCATAGGCTGGGGTCCCAGCTGCTCCTTGCTAACATGCTCTCTGTCATGTGGGAGACCAGGATGCAATTCTTGACTCCTACCTTTAGGTTGGCCTAGTCCGAGTCATTTGGGGAGTAAGCTAGCAAATTAAGGATCTCTTTGCCTCTGTCACTCTACTTTTCAAATAAATAAATCTTTTAGAGAGGGAGGGGTTAGAAAGTTTATGAAGGGAGGAAAATACAGCATAAGAATCATGTATAAGGGCTGGCATTGTTACAGTGCGGCTTAAGCTACCACCTGCAGTGCCAGCACCACATACATGTACACTTTCAATCCTGCTCCCTGGTAATGTGCCTGAGAAGGCAGCAGAGAACAGATCAACTGATGGGGTCCTTACATTCATGTGGGAGACCAGGATGAAGCTTCTGCTCCCAGCCTTGGCCTGGCTCAGTCCCGACAGGACTATTTGGGAAATGAGAACCAGCAGATAGAAAAATTGTTTCCCCTTTCTCTCCTTCCCTCTCTGTAACTCTGCTTTTCAGATAAATAATATAAATATTAAAAAAAAAAAAAAGACTTCCTTCTGCACAGGACAAAAGGAAAGGAAGGAGTCAATAGCTACCATCTACTAAAAAAATTCTGTAATTGCTAAATACAAAACAACAGAAAACAGGAAAAATTTTTAAGAGGAACTCAAGTCTGAATATTTGTTAGGTTTGAATTAATCAAAATCTGAAACTTCTATATGGATAAAGCAGACACAAATACATATGGAAGCTGGAAATCAAATCATATCAATTCAGTCTATTTCACTGCCAACCACACTGATGTGAGGACAAATTCACAAAAAAAAAAATCAAAACCATTCCTGTTCTTGTAATTTTTTTATATGAGTGCTACAAATAAAGACAAAAGAAAACCCAAGTAAAATAATCACCAATGGGAAAAAGAATAGATGCCAACAGGCAAGTCTCTTTAATACTGTGGCACAGTACTCAACTGTTGTATTTCGATCCAGCTCCCTGTCTATGTGCTGGGAAAGCAGCAAAAGATGGGCCTAGTCCTTGGGGCCCTGCACCCACGTGAGAGACTCAGAAGCAGCACCTGGCTCCTGGCTTCAGCCTGCTCAATCCCAATTGCTGTGACCATTTGAGATGTGAGCCTACAGACTTCTCAATCTCTAGTCTTTTCTCTCTTTCTATAACTCTGCCTTTCAAACAAATAAAACAAAAATAATAGTAAAAAATGGACAGCCATATGAAAGAGTCCATTTTTAACCATGAAAGAAATACAATCTTAAGAAATAATCTTTTCTGGGCCCGGCGCGGTGGCGCAAGTGGTTAAGGTCCTCGCCTTGAACACCCGGGATCCCATAGGGGGCACCAGTTCTAATCCCGGCGGCCCCGCTTCCCATCCAGCTCTCTGCTTGTGGCCCAGGAAAGCAGTCGAGGACGGCCCAAAGCTTTGGGACCCTGCACCCACGTGGGAGACCCGGAAGAGGCTCCTGGCTTCGGATCGGCATAGCCATCAGCCATTGCGCTCACTTGGGGAGTGAATCATCGGACGGAAGATCTTCCTCTCTGTCTCTCTTTTCTGTATATCCACCTTTCCAATAAAAATTAAAAAAAAAAAAAGAAAAAATCTTTTCTGGGCCTGGCATGATGTCTCAGTGGCTAAATCCTCACCTTGCAACTGCCAGGATCCCATACAGGCACCAGTTTGTGTCCTGTCTGCTCCACTTCCCATCCTGCTACCTGCTTGTGGCCTGGGTAAGCAGTGGAAGGCGGCCCAAAATCTTAGGACTCCGCACCATGTGTGAGACCTGGAAACAGCTCCTGGGTTCAGATTGGCTCACTTCTGGCAGTTGTAGCCACTCGGAGAGTGAACCAGCAGATGGAAGATCTTTCTTTCTGTATCTCCTTCTTTCTGTGAATCTGCCTTTCCAATGAAAATATATTTTAAAAAAGAAATAATATTCTCTATCTATATTGGCAGCAAAAAGATATCACTAACTCAATGTTGGCAAAACTGAGGAAACAGATGCATTCATTATATGAAAAAAACCTAAAGTTGAAGCCAAATGGTAATATCCACTAAATTTTTACATGAGCCCCTATGCTCCATAACAACTCCATAATTAGTACTACGAAAATTCTTGTTCAAGTATGCCAACATATTTGTAGTTGATAGTTGGGAAAAAATTATAAGTAATATAAATTATAAGTAATATAATGTTCCTTGGTGGAACATGAGTTCTGGTTCACTCATGATTTTCTGCAGTCATTCTCTTCTGGAATAAAGTAATTACATATGTACTGTTGGCAGCTGCAGTTGAAGAGCTGCTCCTGGTCTAGTGACCCACAGCCAGGACAGCAATGGAGAAACTGCATCAGGCAGAGGTGTTTCTAGTCCTTTCTGAGCACGGGCCCCAGGGTCCTAACTTCTTAATGCATATTTAAGTAGGTAGTTTTCTATATATTTTCATTTCTCATCCCAAAGTATAAATCTTTAAGTTGAGGGTAAAATTATAGGCAATTTAATTGTGTAGATGATAAATTCTATGTAACATAACATTACAGATTTAGAAATGTTTTTTGGCCTCCAAGAGGCCATTTTTTGCATAAATACTTGGTGAAATCTGGGGCCAATGTGGTAGCATCAAGTTAATCCCCTGCCTGCAGTGTCAGCATCCCATATGGAAGCCTGCTTGTGTTCTGGATGCTCCACTTTCTATACAGCTTCCAGCTTATGATGGCCCTGCACCCACATGGGAGAACTGGAGGAGGCTCCTGACTCCTGGCTTTGACCTGGCCAGCAAACTGATTAGTGGATGGATCTTGCTCCATTTTTCTTCCTCTTTTTCTATAATTCTTTCAAATAACTAAATCAATATGAAGAAAAAAAATCCAATAAGCAAAAAGGCAAATTTCACCAAAGCGGAAATCACCAGTTACACCGAAAGAGAAATGAATTAAAACCAATCTAGAGGTGAAAATGACATAAGGATATTAAAAACTATAGCCAGGCCAGTGAGTAGCTTAGTGGTAATCATACTTTGGAAAGGGGCCAAGAAAGAAAAGTTGGAAAACTCGTATTCACAAAGGAATAAAGGACACTGGAAATACTAAATAAATAAAAATATAAATATATCTTAGCTAATGAAAACACATGATAATTCAAATATCACTAACTGGAACTCTCAAATATCAATGGCTCTAAGCAATGAGTAGCAAGAGCATTCAGATTTTAGTGATCCCTGAAGAAAGGGCACATCACCTGCTGTGGTTGGAATAAAGTTACCTGTACCCAAGACTTCAAATGTTGAAACTAAATCCATCCCCTTTATGAGGATTTAAAGTGGAAACTTAATCCAGCTAAGGAATTTAGAGGTGAGGTCTCTGGGGGGTGTATAAGGCTAAGTAAGGTCCTGGGGTTGGGGTGGACACAGAGCCTGAGGATTAAATACTGGTGGCTTTGAAAATGGACAGAGAGAAGTTCGTGGATACAGATATGTGCTCCATGTGCTTACTATGTTAAACTCAAGAAAATCAAGGACAGTCAGGTAGAAGAAGAGAAAAAAAATTTCTTCTACACTACTCCAGAAGGCAAAAATCAAGACAATCTGGAAAGAAAAGCTTAGAGGAGCATATCATGAACATAAACTTACTTAGCACTGCTTCCAAAGAAACAACCATGCCCCCTTCACAACTTCTGAAATATGTAATACAAGGCTGGACGCCCACTGGCAGGGATATCTAGGGAAACATATCCTTAGTTGATCATGGGGCTCATTTATGTCAAGCCTGTCTAAAACATCAGAAGGAATCTTGAAGATCTGCTTCAGGCTCAAGGTTTTGTATTCCAGGGACTAGAGCTGTGGCACAACAGGTTAACTCACTACCTGTGTTGCCAGCATCCCATAAAAGCACTCCTTCACAGGACAACCATTATGGCATAGAGCCACTGCTTTGCAAACCCAGCACCCCAAATGGACACTGATCCCACCTCCTGCTAATACTCATGGGAAAGCAGTGGAAGATGGCCCAAGATGAAGAAGGAATTCCAGGCTCCTGGTTCCAGCCTGGCCCAGCTGCAGCCACTGATAATAAACCAGTAGATGTTCCCTCTTTCTTCAATTCTTTCAAATAAATAAAACTTAAAAGCAAATTTAGTGGGGAAAAAAACCCACAAAAATAAATAAAACAAAGATTTTGTATTTCTAAACAAGGCTGTATTCAGACTCTGAACAGTGAATTAAGAAAAAGAACAAAGAACCTATCCCAAAACTCAATATACAAATACCCATTTCCTACTCCACTGGAAATCAATTCGTTCATAACAAGGAAGAACAATTCTTTTTTGAGAATTTACTATCAGATAATTCAAGATTGGAACAAGCCCCTGAGCATTAGGTATTTTACCTATGGTGCTTTCACTTCATTTTATTAGAGGAAACACAGAGGATAAGCAATGAGTAAGTTTGAAACTTTAACTCATGTTCTTTTCCACTGAGCCTTCCTGATTTTAAAATGAATCACCATTTATAAAACACATCATTACTGTTTTGTGTGTTGAATACTCTGGCTTCTCTTCAGATTGTATAAATCTTTCGCCTTTTACTGTTTTGTGCGTTGGCATTAGAACATTTAATTTCCTACCTTATTTTAACCTACATATAATAAATTCATGTGTTGATGCCTTACCACTTATTTCAAGCTCTGCCCAATGTGATTTCTTTCCATTTGCTGCTTCCTCAGAGGACATAATTGTGTACATCCTCCGAGGATCAGGGGGCTCGTATTTTTCTTTGGGCATGCCTGTTAAGAAAAAAAAACAGTTAGTAATCTAAAGAATAAAACAAATAAAACTAATAATACTTTTTAAAATTTTATACACACTTTATGACCTTTAAATACCATTTGCCACTCAGTAATGAGTAAGGGACTCCTTAAATAAATGGGTGACAAGGAAAAGGCAACACAAAAAAGCTGGACACTGAAAAGGGGATGCCATTAAGGGATATCAAGGACACAGGATGCCGTCAAGGACACAGCAACCAGCTTGAAAATGCTTCCACCAGCCAGAAGACAACCTCAACATCACAATAATCACAAATCAGTCATAACCTGCATGAAAACATAATTTTAACTTAAGAATATACATCAGAGTGCCAGTTTTGAGTCCCTGCGAATATACGGAATTTGCAATTCAGTTTCCCGTTAACACACCAAGGGCTTGGGTCCTTGCCACTCACATGGGAAATCAGAATGGAGTTCCTGGCTCCCAGCCTTGCCTATGGTAGCCATCTGAGGAATGAACCAATAGATGGGAAGATGTCTCTGCTTTTCCACCCTTCACTCCTTGCTCCCTACTTCCCCTCTACCAAATAAACAAGTCTTTACAAAGAAATAAAACCATTAAAGAAAAAAAATCAATAGAATTACAAACGGATAGCTTATGTTCTAAGACATGACCTCAATGATCAAGCTGATGAGGACAGCCGCACTGTGTGCCTCCTCGTGAGTTACCACAGCAAGCACACACCACTTCCTTCTAACGTCCCCTCTCCCTCACCAAAACAATTAAAGCTGAACCTGAATCAAATCAAGCTTCTCTAGATCAGCAACAGTTTATAACAAAGGAGCAAATTAAAAGTAAAGCCAGTTTGCACTATATGAATATACATATAGTGTACATACAAAACTATACCTAGTTACAGTAACAAAATATGCATCATCACAGTCACAAATTATATTAAAAAACAAAACAAAACACAGAGCCAGCATCGTGGCACAACAGGTTGAGCTGCCAGTCACAGTGCTGACATCCCAGCCACCACAGTTCTAGCTGGACACTTCTGGTTCAGCTTCCTCCTGAAATGCCTGGGAAGGCAGTGAATGAAGATGGCCCAAGTGGTTGTCCCACCCCCAACCCAAGCTCTTGTCCCTTTACACTCTAATCAAATATGTAAAAATATCAAAAATAAAATTTATGCAATAAAAAAATCAGAAATCTGAACACAAGGTGTCACAATTTGTCTTTTAAGAGTATTGGAAGTTTAGTCCTCCATGGAGTGGTACTAATGAAGCAGGACTTGAAGAGCTGGGGTCAGTGGGGGATACTGGTCTTGGAAGGCACTAACAAAGTTCTTGTGGGATCTTAGTCCCAGCAGTGTTGACTGAGTGCTACTAGAGTGAACCTGATCCTGAATCTGTCTTGTGATTTCACCATGATGCTATTCCCCCAAGCTGTAACCTAGCCAAGGGACCTTCACCAGAAGCCACATCAATGGTGCCGCCAGATCTTAGTTACATGACCAAACCTTAAACATTGTGTTACAGCAACAGAACACTGATCAATTATTGAACTAAACACAAAAAGACTTAGTTTACTGGTTAACAGGCAAGCTAGGATACTTGCACTCTTTAGTAGAGTACCTGGGTTTAATACCCAGCTCCAGCTCCTGACTCCACATTCCTGATAATGCAGTCCTTGAGACTAGGAACAAGGTTCAAACAACTGAGTCCTACCACTCACAAGGGAGAGTTGGAGCGTTCCCAGTTCTGGCCTGAGTCCACGCCCAGCCTCCGCAGTTGTAAAGCCAGCCCATAGGAGTACGTTCTCTCTCAGGTCGTTAAGTCATCCCATGAGTTTGTTCTCTTTTTGAAACCATGCTATCTTTCTACTAAGGGAAAGTAGAACTAGTTTACAAATACAGAAATGGATTTTGATCATTTAGACAAGCATATGAGGAATTAAAAGTAATCCTAACAAGTTATTTGAAATAGGAATACAGAAATAGTTGGGGTCAGAACTATGCCATAGCAGGTAAAAACACTTATTACAGAACCAGCATCTTATATGGGGTGCCTGTTTCAGTCTCAGCTGCTCCACTTCCAACCCAGCTCCCTGTGAATATGCCCGAGAAAGCAGGAGAACATGCTCCAGGTCTTTGAGCCCTTGTTCATGTGGGAAATGCAGAGAAAGCTCCTGATTTCAGATATGAGATATGATATGATATGATATGATATGATATATTATATATACAAATATATTCCAGGTGACTCAATTCACTAATACTCCACATGCAAGTGCCAAGACCATATGGGCCCCAGTTCATGTCTCAGCTGCTTCACTCCTGATCAAGCTCCCTACTTATGGCCTGGGGAGACAGTGGAGGATGGCCCAAGTCCTTGGGACCCTTGTACTCATGTGGGAGACCCAGAGGATGCTTCTGGTTTCCAATCAGCTAAGCTCTGGCCATTGAGGCCACTTGGGGAGTGAACCAGTGGGTGGAAGATCTTTCTGTCTCCTTCTCTTGGTAAATTTGCCTTTCTAATGAAAATAAATAAACCCTCAAAAAATCATATATGTGATGAGATTAATCACCTGCATAGCAGCACATCTAAAAATGTTTTTGAAATGTTTCACCTATTAACATAAAACTGTTATGTTAACTCTTACAGTGTACAAATACAATAACCAATTTTCAGACCTAACAAAATAGATGATATATGTTGGTTTCCTTTCTCGTTCAAATTTTTACTTCCTCTGAAACACTGAGAGATTGAGATCAATCTTCCATATGCTGCTTTACTCCCCAAATGGCCACAAGAGCCAGATCTTGGTCAGACCAAACCCAGGAGTCAGAAACTTTACCCAGTTCCCTTACGAAGATGGCGGGGACTTGGTTTCTAAGCCACCCTCTGCTGCTAACCCAGGTGACTTAGCAAGGAACTGGATGTGAAGCAATGTTTAGCCATGTGCTATGCCTCAACCCTGACTGAACCATGCTTTTAATCAGGCAGTATCTACTACACTGTACTCATCACCCCTGTCTTAGTCACTTAGCTATCTCTGGGAGCACATGGACTGCTGACGTATCACAATACTTACACACAAGCCTATGTTACTTAATAAATGCCCCAATGTCCAAAAATAGTGATGTTAAAAGTTCAGATATGCTGAAGTCATAAATAAAGTGCTCCTTTTAAGTAAAAAGCTTCTCAACTTAGCAAGAAACAGAAACACATGCTGCTGTTACTGTTGATTTGCTGTTGACCTCTCACAATGCCTAATTTGTAAATTAAACTTTATCACAGTAATGTTTAATAGGTAAAAGGAGAACTAGGGACTATGCAGCTTCAAGTATGCACTGGGGATCTTGGGAAATACCCTTCAGATGGAAAGCAACTCTGGCTTCTCAGATAAGCCACTTAACACAGCTTTTTTGGTTTTGTTTTGTTTTTAATTTTTGAGAAATTTAACATAGTTGATTAGGATGCAAAGGGTCAAGGGCTGGAGGAAAATGGGTGAGACCATTGTTCTCACATTCTCTTTTTCCATTCCTGTATATGGGGGAAGGGGAAGAGATAAGGGAAAAAGCCACACTCAGCTTCCCAACCATCCCAGGATCCCCAGTGTGGTGCATGCTCCAAGGGCACTGCTCAGGTAGTTTTGATAGCTCAACAGTTCTGTATTGCTGCCACTCCAATCACGATGAAATCTCTCCAGAATCCACTGGCTGCTATAGTCCATCTAGGAGTGTCCATTTGCACAGGTATTCACTGTCAACTCTCGACTGGGGCAGTTGATCGATTTGTTTTGTCCTCCATTCTCTGTTATGGTACCAGTAGCAGGTGTCCTCTGCAGGCTCCAGGATACTGCCAAATCTAAATCTGGATATGCTGTCCATTGCTCGATCTAAGCCACTGAGCAGGCCCAGCTCTGACACATGCATTCCCACAGTCAGCCCATGGAACCTGCAATTTCCTCCATGGTTGGAGTTCTGAGTCCAGTGGTTCAGTTGGGGAGATTTCCAAAGAAACCTCATCTGAGGTGATCCCAGACCTGATTCTTGTTTGTACATGCCAATATTGGGTCTGGTACAGTCCATTGCCCAAATCAGTCTATTCACACAGTTAGCTGCAATTGCTGAGTGGGTTCTGTCTCTAGCCCTGTCTTCTACGTAAACTAATGGATGTTGCAGTCCATCCTGATCCTGCCCACCACACACTTGGCCCTCACACAAACCAGTGGAAGCTGCAGCCTAGCTGGGGTGACCTGCAATAACCTCACCAGACCTGCCCCCTGCCCTGGTTTCCACGCTTGCCAGCAAGTACAGCAGACTGGTCCAGTCTGTTCAACATCCCATTCAACTCTCATACATGTCAATGGGCACTGAAACCTGGTTCAACCCAACCGGGCCCCACTATCTGTCAAGTAAAGAAACAGGATGGACTGTAGGTCCTCCAGGGCCCCACTAGGTCCACCCCCTTAACTAGCTCACACATTTTCAATGAATGGAGCTACCCTGCCCAGCCTACCCAACACACAGGCCTAGACCACATGCCCATCAGCAGGAGCTATGACCCACTAGGGGAGTTTCCCAAGTTCCCCCACTTGGGCCACTCTCAGTCCCACATCTCATGCATGCCACAGGTAACACAGCAAGGCCTGCCCCACCTGTCCCAGCCTTTCTAAGAGCTGGTGGATGCTGTGGCCCAGCCCATCCCACACCCTGTTTAGGGCCGCCTGAGCCTGCCCTGCATATTCCTAGCCCCAATACCAGTGAGCATCAGTAAGTTCCATGATCATGCCTAGCTCAACTTATCACCATCCCAACTCTTAAGCCAACCAGCAGGACTAGTAATTCCATAGGGTTGAGTCCACATATCCCCCACAGAATCTACCTCCTAGACCTGGTTCTCTTACACACTGGTTGGTGTCATGGCCTAGCCTAACGTGACCCAACCTCTGATCCAACACTCACAGTCAGGTAATGCGATCTAGCCCTGCAGGACAGGTCCCCAGCCCT